GCATTTTTGCCGCCAGAGGGCCAAAATTGGTGCATGGTTTAGTTCCTTTTTCCGAAACCAGATGGCGCTGATTCGACATTGAAATTTTAGTTCGCATTTATGCCGCCAGAGGGCCAAAATTGGTGCATGGTTTAGTTCCTTTCTTCGAATCCAGGTGGCGCTGATTCGACATTGAAATTTTAGTTCGCATTTATGCCGCCAGAGGGCCAAAATTGGTGCATGGTTTAGTTCCTTTCTTCGAATCCAGGTGGCGCTGATTCGACATCGAACTTTTAGTTCACATTTTTGCCTATAGGGGGCGCTGTTTTTCGAAATTTTGGCGAAATTCTAACTTACCTTTACTTACCTTTACTTACCTTTTTTACCTTTACTCGAAGCAGTCTTTATAATATATTTATTATAAGGAATGTAGGGATGAAAAGAGTGTAGGGATGAAAAGAATGTAGGGATGATAAGAATGTAGTAATTTAAGGGATGAAGAGATTAAAGGAATGTAGGGATGTAAAGAATGTAGGGATGTAAGGGATGAAGATATGTAAGGAGTGTAGGGATGAAAAGAATGTAGGGTTGAAAGGAATGTAGGGATGAAAGGAATGTAGGGATAAAAAGAATGCAGGGGTGTAAGGGTTGCGGAAATGTAACGGAATTGGGGATGTAAAGGAATTCTGCAGGGGTTCGGGGCTGGGGCCCCGGTCTGCACTGCACGCGGCCCGAGGAATTCCGGCATCGTGTGTGGCCCTCGATGTCGGCGGAGTTTGGCACATGGCGGAGGGTCAGAGGACCCTCCCTGCCGGCCTAGTGCAGGCCACCGTGGTGGTTTTAGTGGGTAAAAATCCCACGCTACCTCCGGCCCCTCCCCAGGGGGGCTGAAGGTGTCTTTCTGAAGATTTCCACCACGTTAAAAAAAAAAAAAAAGGGGGGGGTATTTAAGGTTCCCAGGAATGTAAGGAATGTAGGGATGTAAGGGATACTGAGAAGGCCTTGGCCTATAAATGAGGTATAAAATTATATAAATAACTGGAAAAAATAAAATAAATAGGGTCGTCGGCTGAGACCCAGAAGAGGGATATAATCATAAATGTTATTCTCCTTTGATGAGCTTATTTAATAAGCAAAAAGGAATAAGTGAAGTAAATTAAATAAACTCTGGAAAAAAATTATACTGGGTGTGCCCTCTTCATACGGACCTGATATTATCCAGAGGTGTTAGGGACCCCGCTGCGCCAATGACGCCCTGTGCGTACGGACCTGATAATATTTTGGGGTATTAAGAACCCCGAAAGGCCGGTGAATATCTTTGCATACCATGAATATAGCACCCGGGGTACCAGGGACCCCGAAGCACCAGTAACTATCTCTGTATAACGACATGATATCATTTTGGGGTGTCAGGAACCCCAATGCACCTGTGACACCGTTTGCATACCGACATTTTGGCATCCGGGATGTCACGGACCCCGAGGTACCGGTAACGCTGCATACAATTTTAAACCACTGGGGTGTCAAGGACCCCAAGCAAGTAGCGAAATATAAGACCTAAAAACGAACAAATCGTGAAACTCTCTTGTTCGGATTAGTGATGGGTACGACCGAATCTAGCGAAATATAAGACCTAAAAACAAACAAATCGTGAAACTCTCTTGTTCGGAATAGTGATGGGTACGACCTGATTCGATCCTGGGGTATCTGGGACCCCGAAGCACTGTTGACTCTCCCTGTATACTGACATATCATTCTGGGGTATTAGGGACCCCGAAGCATGGCTGACACTCTTTATATACCGAAAGTGCGGCATTCGGGGTGTCAGCGACCCCGATGCATTGGTAGCACACTCTGCATACCGACCTGATTTTATTTGATTCGATAGTTTTCCCTCTTTTGAGGGCGGCGCAATCTAGGGGCTAACGGCCCCTTTTTGCCCAACGAAAATTAGAGTCCACGCGCGGCTACGTGCCTTTTTCACATTACATTTTTCCTTTTTTTCGCAATACATTATTCTCTTTCTCGCAATACATTCTTACTCACACTTCGCCATACTTTTATAATTCTGCCTTGTTTCCTATCTTTTTCGCTTGTGTGTATGTGTGTCCCTTTTTAGTTGCCTCTTACGACAGGTAGGGGATACCGTGGCCGTATTCTAGTCCCCCCGAGCCACAGAGGGCAAGCATACCGACCTGATTTTATGCTGGGGTGTCAGGGACCCCAATTGTGTAAACGTAATATTGGAGTGTGACACCTGTTTCTTTATAGGTTTTACTTTCTGCATCAGAGTTTCGTGCTAAGCGGGAATTGAGAGAGGTTACGAAGCAGTTGACGACATAAATGTTTTTAGAATTGTATATAAATTGTTTGATTGGAACATTGTGTTAAAATTGTTTGTGGCTATGAAAAATTTCAATACATTTGTCTATATAACTGTTCATATTTTTGCTCTGATTTTAATTGTTAATTGCGAAGATGAAAACTATTTCGAGGAAGAAATGTATGTATATAGCATTTATTTGAAATTTAAGTATTGTTAATATCGTATGTAGATAAACTATAAGCAATTATTTACAGAAGCTCGGACGAATTGATAGATCCACATTCATTTTTTTATGATAAGCAAAGTAAGAAGATGATTAATGAACCAGAATTGCGAATGTATGTACTAAGTGAAGCTTAGTATGGTTTCCACATCTTAATCTTAAGCAATGATTTCTCACTTATGTATTTATTGTTTTAGGACTGACAATTCCAAAGAAAACAGTAACAATATTCGGTCAAACTTGAATCCTTCTAAGGAAATAGATAATCATAGCAGCCTTGAAAGAATATTTTATAAACGTCTTGTTAATTTACTGTTGTCAAACATTAATATACAGGTAATGTTTGAGGTGGAATCATATTGAAAGCTTCATAGTAGTGTTGAGTAATTTCTTAAACGATTCATCAACAGGTAAAAGATGAAGTATCAATAATAGGAATATTGGAAATTGAAATATCTCATTCACAAATGGAAATATTACAAAATTTCCACATACAAAAGACATCATTAAGAGAAATTGATGAAATTTTGAGTAACGTTATAAAAAAGCCTAGAACTGATTATTTAGCTGGAGTTATGCATGTTTTTGATACCATATTACAAAAATTTGAGACGGTACTCATAACAGTACAACAACATGTAAGAAAATTTATATATAAATTGTATTTCCTTGCACTGTTTACCTAGATAATAACAAATCTTTTACCTTGCATTATTTCAGCCTGATGGAGCTATGATTGTGTTTGCAATGTTTATGGTCTGTTTAACCTGTAGGTTAATAAAATGGGGGCAGGGATTTCCCATTTTCCTTTTTATACAAGTCATATTTGTATTGAGTTTCTTTATGACTTGGTGGCAACTTATACAGGTATACCATATTGGCTAGTGGCTAATAATTTATGTTATTTGTCTTAATAAATTTTTATTATACTTTTTAAAAGGAGGCCGAAGTTAAGTTTGCTGCAGCACAAATGAAATTTACAGACATACCAGTTGTATGTCAACCAAATAAAATGAATATGTGGGATAAATTTGTGTCATTTATATCTAGTTAGTATATTATTTTAAGGTATAATATGCTATGTTGTATTAATAAACATGTTTCATATATATTCTTTACAGCTAACGAAGATTGTGAAAAATATTATCACGCGAAAATGTCTAACCCAAAATTAAAAATTACACCTGCATTTGCGCTATCACATTTTATTACTACTGTTGTTCTTCATCCAATTACATACATGGGTACAGTCGTATCCGGTTTTATAACTAACGCTACAGGTATTTAAACGATATTTATTGTATGATAGTAAAAAACTTCAGAAGAGTTGAGTACATATTGTCTGATTATATTTTTATACATTATTTCAGATGATCTTCCATGGACATATGCATGGATCATTAAATGTATACTTTTCTTATGTGTAGGTTTGGTTATAATAATAATGCCCTTCTGTTTATCGGGCGCATCCATTAATTTAGGTTTAGGACCATTACTGAGATTTGGAATTAATGATCAAAAGAAATCTGAAAAAGGTAAATCATTACAAAATGTAGAAAAACGAGAACCCGTACAAATAATTCTTCAGGTAATGTACAGTTTAATTTTCAGTTTAAGGGGTATCACTCTGAGCGCTAAAAAATTAAGGTCTATTTTAATGAATTATTGTGAACAATAATAAGTTGTTTGCTTACAATAATTCATAAAAATAGACCTTAATTTTTTAGCGCTCAGAGTGATACCCCTTAATGTTTTTCGAACAACATTTAATTTATCCCTGTTAGTATCTTGTCAGACAGTCATGCAGAAATAAAGAAATTAAAAATTGTTTTAGGTACCTCATGCTACCAACGTACCAATGATACAAGACGTATCAAATATTGAACAACCAAAAGCTGTAAAAATGTTGAAAAATGATGACGATGGAAACAGTACCGATAGAGAGGATTACTTTGAAAAATTAAATGAAGATTTATCTTGTGGCGACACCATAAAAAATACAGAATTTTCCGAAACCGATGATAAGTCTAAAACAGGCAAACAACATGATACCGCAAAGATTCCAAAAAACGATGGAAGGGGTGATGGTTAATATTATTTATACCATGACATTTTTGTTAATTATAAATAAGTTGTTAATGCGTTGTGTACATATTGCATGTAAATGTTTAATTTAATACGAATTCTCGTTTTTAGTTTATATTTATTAATATATTTAATGTACTCCGAAACTATTTGTGATTATGATATGATAAAGAATCTACTTTAAGTATTTACTTCACTGTAATGTTAAACGCTTATTTTACTTTTACTCACATTACTACCATTTAGTATTACTAATAAGAATGCTATCTGATGCGCTTTATAATTTAACGTGGCATAACGATACCTGTACTACATAATCAAATGTGTAAAATTGTAACTTTAATATTAAAATACGTATTTTCTTAAATTTCTGTTTCATTAATTTGACGTTGTATCCAGATCACACGAAGAGAGAGAAGCCTCGATTGAGATTTTTAGCAATCTCCGACGAACTGCTGTTAGTTGAATAAAGGAAAAAAAATCGGAGGAGTTGGGGAAGCAAAATATTTAGAATGGTTCGATTGAACGTAACAGCGGTACGGGAAGTTTTTCAAATTGTTCACGGGTCCATAAACGGCAGGCGTGTTTCTGCTCGAGATGATGGGTGAAAGAGATGGTGGTGCATATACTCAGTTCTTCATCCTGCAACAATGCAACTTGGTTTCAAAAATTTTGCCTGTTTTCTGAAAAATGTTAACTTGACAATTTTTTACATTTTCTTTTTTTTAAATAAATACCTTCACATGGCAGATCGTTCCGAAACGAAACGAGGGTAAAGGGTATAGGGTATAGCCGGGTAAGGTAGACAAAATGGCCCTTGAACCAGTTGAAAAAAAATCAAAAACCAATTATTTCGCATGAAAAAGTAACTTCTACTTTGAATTTTTATTTCCTGTTTTTTCAGAATATGTATTAAGTACTTTTAAATGGATTCACATTCATATTCTAAAGGAATGTGGAAATAAAGGAAATAAAAATTCAAAGTAGAAGTTACTTTTTCATGCGAAATAATTGGTTTTTGATTTTTTGTTTTTTGATTTTGCTCTTACATTTTTAATAACAAATCGCGTTCCTTAGATTCTTTGTTCGATGTTTCATTTTTTACAACTAGGATTTGCAATGAAAAAATCTGAAAAAATTCCCTAATATGCGCTACCGTGTTTGTAGTGTATGTATCAGAATTTTTTCAGAATTTTCGGATGTTATTAAATAGGAGAAATGGGGCACGATCTGGCGTCTCTTTTGCCCCCCCTCACTGCCCCCCTGGTTAAGATAAAGGGTTGAAAATTGGTGTACAGTATTTTCTTTTGATATGCTATCGAATGACGCATTCTGAATTTAATTTGGTTCAAGGGTCATTTTGCCTATCTTACCAGGCTATACCCTTTAAATTCTTAAAATCATTCTACCGAACTCTTTCTTCGCTTCCTACGATCATCGATAACGATACGAGAGCTAAGCCAACGACTTCGTTGCACTTGGTTGTATACCATGGCTCGATCCATTTCTGCGATGGCTAAAGCAACCAGCCGGATGGCTATCGAAATAACGAACCTATCTCATTTCAAAGTGCCTCACTCGCGGCTGGCTGCATCTAAAACGAGCTGGGGTCCGATCTTGTGCACGTGCAACCGAGCTTTTCACCTGAAACCTAAACGGCCCTTCCTTGCATCTGCTCCATTGAGCTGCCCGGAGTTTGTTTTGCCTCACCATTAAACGGCGGCGGGTTGCCAAAAAATTCGAAGAAGTTCCAATTCCAGGTACCGGCTGGATCGTGATCTTCAAGCTCCTCAACATCCGCCGCGAAGAGTCCCGTAAAGGATTCCTCTTCGTTGCGCACGAATAAGATCGTTCAATCGATCATCGATCGACAAGGTATCGTGGTCGACGCAAAAATACCACCGTGGTTACTCGGTCCGTTGAGACACGGTATTTTATCCGCAGCAAGCTTTTGAACTGCTTCTGTCGTACTTTGGATTCTTCTCTTCCCTTTGTACGTCCCTTCGGCATGGCCCGGCTAAAAGTTGAATTGTTTCGATCGTAGCCGAGATACCTCTCAGGGACATTTTTCGGGGAAGTTATCGATAATTCATTTTAAGCGGCAGGTACATTACAATCGAAAACTCTATAGCGAAGTTTCGATGGAAGACAAACTTCCAGAGGCGGTCGAAGTCTTCAACAAAGTGAAATACATAATGCATGCCTAGCTGGGACATAATTAACCGAGGCAAGGGAGGACAAAGTTTTAACCGATTTACTTCGTTCTCTTCGCGAAGTATACGATTCAACCGGCATTTCTTCTCGAGAGAAGTTCGCTTTATAATAAACTACAATCCTCTTAATGACAGTCCTTTCATCACGGAATCGCCGATGTAACTTATCATTCTTTGTCATCGTTTCCTTTCTCTTCTTCTCCTAAAGTCTGCGAACTCGTGTTCGAGTAAATGTACCTTCAATGTTCACGAGTTTGTTCGCATAGTTGAACAGATTTCTACGAATACATACGGTTCTTGCACAGCTTTGATCGTTAGCCTGTAAATTTTCCTAGTTCCATGCACGTTGTTCGCGGATTCGGTAACTTATGAAATGTATGGATATCGGGAAATGGTTGCTGAGTGTAACGATCGGTTATAGCTACTAAACGTTTCACTGTTCAACAGAATCGCTGAATATAAACTGTCTATTACTGACATTGGAATATCTGCTGTCCGTGCATTTATCAGCGTGATGCACCGCAATGAAACGAGAATGGATGAGGAAATATATAACGTTGACAAAGGTTGATATTAACAAAATAAGTGTCGTTCGAAAAAAAAGCTCGAAGGTATAATTTTTTATGAATATTGTTTACTTTATCGATCGTCTTTCTGGTCGGTGTTTAAAAATGGTATCATCTTCAATTTATAGGGTTTTATGTATTAAATGGAGCTTGAATAATGGGAGTATGACTTAAAACACGTTCTAGTATGTACGGACACGATGGTGTATCAAGATAGCTCCTCTGTGGTCTATCGAAGCCAGTTGACAAGCCTGATGCTTGAGATCAAAGCCGTTCCTACCTCTGCGCATAGTTTATTAATCACTTGGTTGGACATTACGTTTTATGGACAACTTTGATCAGGCATTAATTTTCGGAAAGTTGTGCATTCACTTTGAACGCTCTGATTTCGCAACAAGTGATAGCAAAACGTATCTCAAAGTTTCTCGTTAATTTCAGGTACTTTATTGAATTCGACTGCGACAAACTTGCAAGTTATTGCATACCTAATGACCCACTTCAAAGCACACGAAGCCTAATATGAATTGATGGCACAAAGTAATTAGGAAAATTTATTTATTTTTTCTCGCAGTCTTATCTTCTAGAATATGTCCACGCAGACACGATTAAGAATCTTTCTTCCGACGTTTCCATCCATCCACTCGGAAATCCTGAGAATTTCTTGTTAGAAGCTTCGACTATCGCGTGTAATTAACACGTTTACCCGCTGATGCCCGCTCAGAGGGTCCACCAAAAAGGAAAGTGTAATTCAATGTCGGACCCGTGAACGTACACGAGCGAGCAGAAGTAACCATACGATAACGCGGCATTCCAGCATGAGAGGGTAGTAATTAAGACCTCAACTGGTCCCAAGGGACTTTGTACGCCGTCTCCCTATATCTTATCGCATGGCTCGCTCGACTGGATGTCCATGCTTTATATATATGGGTTTATTCACCCAAGAGGGCAGTTCTGTATCGTGGAAGCGTCCGAGTGTAGTACGTACCGAGTCCGTTCGATGGCCTGTTTTCTAATTACCGACTAACCACTTTGAACGGGGCAAAGAAACGTCAGTCATTCCTAAGAATACTTACAAAATTTACGAGTCACGTTCGCATAAGTTTTCTCGATTAAAAACTCGACTTTAACGGGTCGCAACGTTCTATTTTCTTTGCTACTTCCCTTAAGTACACCCGTGTCCTACGCGCGGAGACAAAATTATACTTCGTTGCTTTCAAATGTCATCAAACATAGTGGTACTGGCTTGCAATTACAAAAAGTATTGGGTACAAGGTAGCTCGTACGAACACATATGCAAATTTGTACTTTCTCAACGGAAAATGCATTCAGCTTTTCAAAGTGAAAACACATACACGGTTGTATTGAATTCTTTTTTGGAATTGAACCTTAAGGAAAGGAATGAAAGCTGGAAAGAGGTTAGCCGGTACTAAATCTCAACGTGTTTTCCGCTTCTTAGCTTGGCTTCGATTCGGGAACACAATTGTATCGGTGTCGCGGGAGTAAACGCGGGTCAACGAGATTGTACGTTAACGGAACGGACATTTAATTTTGTAGAGTCTAACAGTCGCGGACAAGCTGATAAATGTCGCTTGCAATGGTCGGGCATAGACGTTTGGAATTAGTCGTAGCACAGCATGGTAATTCCGTTCGATCGGCGATCGTCCACGGTGGACATGAAATATCAGGAAATCGAACCGGTTCAGACGACTCCGGAGTAAGTAATCTCGTTCGTCGTATATAAATGTACAGAAAATCGAGTTGAATGCCAATTACGTTGCACCGACTAAACGCGTTTCCTTCGTTTTTTCATCCGTCAATAACACGAGAAAATGGTTTCAAACGTCGTTGGACCGGTTCGATGCCGGTCGTTTGGTGACGATGACTCTTGATCATGCAGCTTCTAGGAAAGTCTTCGATGCTTTATTACATATTTACGTGTACAGTAAAACAGAAATTCCATCATTTCAACGTTTTACGTTTAATTTCCTGTTCAAAATGAGATTATTGATAGATTTACATTACACAGCTATTGATTCTATTACCCACGCTTCGTGCGTCGCCGACTTTCCGGACAGATAGAAAAATTTCCAGGTTCCTGTTTTACCAGTTTCGAGGTTAGAGACGAAAACATCGATCGTGTGATCGTACGTAGTCGAGGCGCCACGATTCGTCCGACTCTTCGTATGCAAATACGATTTTTATCGCGGATAACTCTTGACTGTTGAGTAATTGCCAAAGTTTCGAGGGTGCGATAAATGTGTCGGCTCGAAAGTGGCACGTTCAAATCAGCCGGCTCGAAGCTGCTGGATCAGAGATTGAAATAACGCGTTTTTGAAAGCGACGTGGATCGACCAATAACGCGGTCACAGATATCACATCGTAAAGCACCGTTCCAATCTGACATGATTAATAGGAACCGCCGAAATTGGTTCTTAATGACTCGATACAGAAAAGGGGGCCAACCGTCATTAGATGTGTTTTAGTTACGCGCCTCTAATTCCTGCCTCGGCTAATGAGCTTTTCATCGGATTCGGTTGATCTTGAGACCGAGAAAGAAACTGATGGAGCTAGCTTATTTCTTTCTCTTTTGCTACTCGTGAACGATCGTACGATGCGACGTTAAAATAAAACGACTTCGAGACCTAACTTCAATCAACGTGGACCGATGAACTATCGAATACTCTTAAAAACCATAGTCATTGCTAGGATTACATAAATTTTCATTAAGATATGCTTAAAATTAGTGTAACGATTTAAAATTCTTATACTTACTTAGATTGAAATTTCCGATTACGTATCAAAGAGAAACGCAAATGTCGTTCTTGACGGAAGTTACTCGATATTCGCGCAAGTTGAGTCGTCGTTTAGTTTCATCAAGTTGTCGAATTGTTAGAAGAGAGCGTAGGCACGCAGTGAAAAGCGGTTCTATGGAGATGATGTATACCCAGAGAGAGCACAAGCATTCTCATGGTGAGGGATGCCTCCGAGCGGCAGACTCATGTCATCGTGTCATCGATAATTGATGTATGCGCGAACTAATGGCTGTAATTACCTGAACCTAATATCCACCGTGGAATCTCGCGCTTCCCCGTCGCGTACGCATCGGCCATGGTGGGCTACGTGCTTACGGTGCGAGCACTAAAATTTCCAGAAGAAATTAATGATTTCTCATCGGCCGTGACAAGTCTGGCCGGGATAATTAATCGCCGCGGATCGCTCCAGGCGGCAGACATCGACTCGGCCGTCTTGTCATATTTCTTCCCATTCGTTTGCCCTGTTCTTTGCGTAGATTATGCGAGGCCACCGTTTATTAGCATGCTAACGACTGCCCGTTAAAATACTTTGTCCCACCGACAGTGATGGAACGTTGCCGGGAAAGTCGGCTCTGATCGAGATACCTATGATCCAACCAACATGCGACCCGTTCGATGACTTTTTCATTAGTTTCACTCGAAGTGGTATTATTACTTGGACTTGTAATGGATCGAATTAAACAATAAATTTTACAAATGGCATACGAAGATTCTCGACAGAGAACATGTTACCAAGCATCGTACTTCAGAGACAAGTAGAAGAATGAAGACGCATCTTTCTTCAAGTGCCACTGCTAAGAGCACCGTGTCCTGGGTTGGCAGCAATCAGAGGGTGAGCCTGTTTTGGACGGTTCGAATAAAAATTAGGAGTACCGGCGTCTCTTAAGGGGGCCAGTTACACGGGCCTGTAATAAGATTACAAGAGAACAAGAGTGGCGCGACTAACGAGGCTATCGTCACCGCAAAACCAGATGCTGCCAAGTGTACGCCGCCCAGGACGAGTCTTTCCGGTGGTCCCATCTCTGGCCATGTGTTCGCCTGCGTGTTGCCTGTCTAGCGGAGCTATTTACGAGACAAAAAACCGACGTGGATCAAAAGATGTACGACGCGATTGCGCGATTTCTTGTTAGCACCGAACGCGTTCGCTTTCCGCCAGAGGCATACCATTGAGAAAGATTAATGCCCACAGACGATTCCCCTCGCGATCTACGGCAAAGCAACTCGCTACTCTCTTCAATTAGCATCGCTAAATTTGACGTTAAAGGAACGACGAGACGATGCGTCGTTCGAGCATCGAACAACAGGTGCATCTTGTATCCGAAATCGTTCGTTTGATATGCAACGATCTAATAATTTAACGAATTTTTATACAAATGACACACGAGCGAATCTTCTGGTACGATAAAATGTATCAATTCGCGTATCTCCTATCGAAGGCTGGAGGCGTATTATTGCAAAAATTCAGGTAATCGATATTTCTTAGATTTATTGTACTCCTCGAGAGCTGACAGTTTACTCACGTGTCGTCGGTGGATTGCGGCGATATGCAATTGCTCCGCTTCCAGGGATTGCATATATCCCTGTGCACATCTGTTCCGTCTGATGCATGGATACTCGCAGTGCTCGTCGAAGAAATAACATTTTCATTCGGATGAATGGTTGTTCAGAGATGCTCTGTATCGTCGTTCAAAGGAAGCTCATTAATTCTTCGGAAAACAGATTCTATGAAGCTTGGAATTTCAAATATCAAACGATAAGAATTTTCGCGATTATGTTACCAGAGTTTGTTGAACTCCTCACTGGACAGCCATCTGTGATCCAAGTATCTCAGCAAACACAACGCAGTGGTCGTTGTTCATCATGAAGCACAAGACTGAAAAATATCAAAGATCATAAAACGAACAGAACTTCCCGGTAGTTCTAATGCTTCAGGGAAAGAAAACGATTGAACGCGATCGGTGTCGCGTCTCATAAGCGACCAACGATCCCCTTTGAAGGATGAATCGGTTGACACGATCCGTCATTGGCTCGTTGCGCGCTGTCGAACATCGTTCCTGTTCGATTCTTAGCAGCGTGCAATTAGTCGGTCGGTATTAGCATCGAATCCATCTCGAGGGACGTGGAACTGTTCGAGGGAGTGAAGCCAGTAATTCAGCTCGCGCCGAATACGAATCAGTCAGGGCAAGTGAAATAAGATAAATGAAAAAGAGTGAGAGAGACGTATAGAATCAGGGGCGTTGCTTACTATCGTGGTTATTGAATTATTTCGAGACTTACTTTTACGTGCAAGGGATGAAACCCTGGTTTAGCCCTTGCAGATGGAGGAGGCGTGGCTCTAGGTTGATCCTAACTGCTGTCCCTTCGAGCCAAAGGTCCTATGGATCAAACAGAGTCCTCTGCATCCTCGACTAGATTAAGATGCGATTAGGATGCTCTTAGCTTTCTCTCTTGCTCTTTCCATGTATTCTGGGATGCTCCAACTTCCCTACTCGTGCACATCGAGGGAACAGGGTGCACGCGCCAGATTCTACAGGGAGGATCTGGATTGAGATGCAACAGGAAACGAAAGAAAGAAATGTTAGATGAAGAGATATATCGGTTAGATGGATCTGGCTTAACACAGGACTGAGTGATCTAAATAAAGAAACAACATCAATTCAGAGACAGTCAACTTATTGTACAAGGGTAGAAGAGAATAGATTTCTTCGGGGTTGTTAACGACCCAGATTGCTTACGCAGGGTTAACACACGAAATATCAGCGTGTCGAGTGCACCTGCTTGCGTCAAGCACCAAATACACCAGCATGTGCTCGTCAAGTTCTGAAACACGAGAATAAACAGTCAGTCTATCATGTTACATCGAAGTGATAGCGAATCTCATTATATAATTCATAGGAAAACAAAATATAACGAAGGGGTATAAAAATTTATCGAAGTTTGAAGCTCGTTTTTACGGCGAGTTAACGCGTCAAGCTCGCAAAGTATATACAGATTCACGGTTGTTAACGATCCGCGCGATTTCGCGCCACGCGGAACGGGTTGCATCTGATACCGGGCCTATTAAAATGATGGTATTATGTATATTGCATCAAGTAATTAGGTAGGTACATTATCGGCGCTTTTAACGCGTTACAAAATTCGAACGATCCAGCTTCGAGGGGGGGGTGAATCGCGTTTGATTATAATCGGCTGTCGCGATAACGTTCACGTCGATGTGGAAACTTTTCGCTCGCGATGCGCTCCCCCCGACGGTACATAAATCCAGGACAACGACCTTGCAAAGTTATGGACAACAGCTGTTCGTTAAGCCTTTTTTTGCGATTAGCCTGGCAAATACCATGGCATTCAGGGGGAAAGGAACGAACCCATAGATCGATGAGCAACGGTGGTCGGCTGCGAATGGAGAAATCGTGTTTCAATTTGAACGGAACGTCGACTCGAGTTCTCGATAAATATTCACGATTCAATGTTCAACATCGGAATCGAAGACAGCTCTTGTGAGAAACAAAATGGTAAACATGTTACTCGACACGTTCAACGTCACCGTGAAAAGGGCATTTTAAGAAAGAAATTTAAAGATCCATAGAATTGTTAGCATTCTCTTCTTATTTTCTGATAGAAAGACTATCTCATTCGAAGTCAGAACGAGAAAGAATGTAATCGAACAATCACGAAACCTGTACGCTGTCTGAACTCATAAGGGAACACCTTGAAATTGGGTGTAACATAGGCTTCTCTTAATTAAGAGTAAGTGTAGGGTGTAGAGAGAGAAACCTTCCACAGCTTGCTTTCGATCTTGCAAGGTTCTAAGGAGATTCTAGAGAACCTGAGAAGAGCCTAACCTGGAACCTGCTATCTTCGCACACGATGAAGAAGAGTGAATAGCGCGAGCGGTGAAACGTATTTCGCACAGCACTTAACGTGTTAACGAAAATAACTTCAAGCTTCAAAGTATCGTAATTAATTAACACGATATAATATACTTAACGCACGAGCCTGTTAATATTAGAGCAGAAAGAAACAGAATGCAAGACGAACGATCGGCTAACAAAATGAAGCCAGAGTATCGTCGCTCGGAGGGATACGCTTTTATTCACCAGCCACGAAGCTCATCCTAGCCGCGAAAAACGACCCCAGGCAACGAGGGTTAATACAGCGGGGTTGTAGCGAAACGCAACGTGAATTTTTATTACACCTCCATACGTGTCTGCCGTCCTACCAAACTTTACCCTCTCTCGTTGGCCCCAAAAAGGGAGACAAAGCTAGGGTCTCTCTTCCGGGCCAGACAAAAATCTCTCGCTCGAACGATCATTTGAGACTTTCGTCGAATCGAAAAGGCTACGGAGAGAATCCACAGTCGCGGAACATCGAACGAAGGGCGTAGGGCAAACTTTTCTTCTTCCGACAACCCTGCTACCCTTCGAGAATATCCTCTCGCGGTGTTCTCTCCCACGCGGCTCGATGAATTGTACCGTTCGCCGCGTAAAACTGACGCCATCTGCGTTTAATGCTACCCTTCCTCTACCCCATCCAGCATATAGCACCGATCGACAGAGGGAAAGGGGTGTTCTGGCTGCGGGGCAAAAGCCAGGACTGATCACCGTAAAAGCACACGGAAACGCGCTTCGCAAATATAGCCGGGTACCGAGCTTTTTCAGCGGCGCGTCGAATTGCACGTGACATTTCCTGACTGTTTTGCACCCTGTTCCTGCACCGGTTCGGCCCCGGAAACACTCGGAAAAAGGGCAGCGCAGCGGCGCTCTGTTATTGGAAACTACGCTCGATGTTTATAGGAGGAAGCTCGCGCTCCAGCTACATCGTCGATGAACATCGTTATTAACCCTCCCCCTTTACACGATGAGACAACTCTGCCTTTCCTCTCTTTTTTTTTTTTTCGTTTTGGTTTATTCTCTTTTTGCTTCGATACCCTTGTTATTTTTCTGTTTTCAGTTCGTTTGCCTCGATTTAATTCATTTTCCAGCAGACGATATGAAAAATTCAACGTATTTCGTTGGAGAATTGCGAAAGATTTTCTTTCTTGCTCGAAGCAAATTTTCTTTTCCGACAACTGTAATATTAATAGTACATTGTAATATCATGGAATGACCTCGATATTTCATGTACGAATCAATTCGGTTAACGATCATTTCTGCTTGGCAAAAACTCTTTAATGCAATTTCGAGTGCAGCTGTGAACTTCCAAGTGAAACAATGTGAAATCTCCATGATCTTCCCTATGAATTCTAAATTGTCTTGCGGGAGTTGGTGCAGAGTGTCGAGGAAAATTTCGTTGGCGAAAGAAACTTCTTTTATCTTGGAAAAGTTTCGTATCCGGGGAAAAAAGTGTGGGCGAATTAATTAACGCTCTAATGAAAAACAAATTGAAAATATGGAAATATTGGAAGATTTAGAATTATATGATACGTAGGTATTTGAAAATTCATTTCCTACGAATGGTACGTCGATCGAACTAATTTTACACACCCAAAGCCGCGAATCTTAATCGACGAAATCATGAATATGCGGGTTATTTAAACTGTTTCAAAGTTTCCACGGAAATTACCGTAAACTTCACGATACTCTTTGGCCCTGTTACTGTTCAGTATTTCAACGTTGTTGGGCGTGGATTGTCTCGGTTTCGTGAGAACGAGAAAGTCTGTTCGCTGCAAATAAAGGAAAAGCACCTAATGCGAACCCGTGACGATGCTTGAGACCGGCTAGGAAATTCTTGATTACATACACTTTCTTGTTAACGTTCCCGCAACCTGACGTGAATTTTTATACGTACTCTTTGTTACCCTGCTTGCTCGTTACTCGTTCAACCTACGAATTTGATGCTCTCGCGCATTTACCACCCTGCAAATTTTGATTCAGCCCCGATTGCTTTCTCTTTCAATTATTCTTTGAATAATTATTGCATAAAAATTATTATTAAAAAAAAAAAAAAATTGTTGGGAACCAAGGATTTGAACCGAGGACCGTCAGATTGCGAGTTATGAATCCGTTCCGTGGTTATACACATGACTCGCAATCTAAAGTTCACCGGTTCAAATCCTTGGTTCCCAACAATTTTTTTTTTTTTTTTTTTAATGATAATTTGTCTCTTTTTGAATAACTAAAATTCTATATTCTATTTTGAATAACTTAAATTCTACAAAAATTGCAGTGTATGTAATTAATTATTAATAAATGCAATGATTATAGCACAGCTGTAATAGTTATTCAAAAAGAGACAAATTATCACTAAAAAAAAAACTTGGGATCCATGGATTTGAACCGTGGACCTTTAGATTCCGAGTCAAGCGTTTTATCACAGAGTTAATCATTTGTATGTGTGAGTCTGTCATACTTCCCAATGTTAGTAGTAACTAACTTTAATTATTAATATCCTTTAAACAATTAGTTGTCTGCCCACAAAACGGGGTATAGGCGTGTTCAGCTCGACGAGCTCTACAAGCTGGCAAAGTTTCATTAATAAGTGAGTGTAATACTTGGGTAGTTCTCCGTATGAGTTGGATTGAAGTTGTCGCAGTAAAGTTGGGTACACATTCACTAACACATTCACGCCGCATCGGTGAGCCGATGGGCGAGATCGGCAATAAATTATATGATTCTATTTTAAAAAATAAATATGACTTTCATGTGTCCTTCATGCGTAACTTACAAACAAAATGGCGGCGCTGGATTACGTCACCCTCGAAACAGAACAAATTTCTCATGAAACATTTCTTCAAATAATGAATAGTTCTTGAGATAATCGTATTTATTGATTAAAATGGGACACCCTGTATATAAGTTCCGAATATCGGTACGATAGGTGTCTGGGGCAGGGATCGTCTGTTGTCAGCCCCACTGGCGAGTATGACAGACGAAACGCTTTTTTCTCTCCTACATTAGAATAAACTAGTGAAATCTTTATACAGTCAGTTTAATTGAACTGTAGGATTTAAATTGATATGCTGTAAACACTATCCCGTGATACCTTTTTGAATCCATTCTCCTCCAGTGAAATTTTAAATTCCATTTCTCTAAGATGCGCATTATTATTCGTGGAAG